GGTTAGACCTTTTATTTGGAGATTGGACAGAGCTTTAAGGCTTCAATGATCTTAGAGTTCTACCCAAGCATTATCACCAACGAACTTTTGTTGGCCACATCCTATCCGCTGACCATAGTCGATCCACAGCCCATCCGCCAATAGTTGTCGGACCGTTGCCTATTCACCATTCCCCACTAACACCGCCCGTCTGCCATCAACATACTAATCTGACCACCATCGCCCGCTGACTACAGTCCCTTCAACTTCTGTCACCCGCCTACTACTGCCCCTCCAATCTCCTTTGCCTATCAACTACGATCCCTTCGACTTTCATCATCCGTCAACAACATTTCCTTTGACCACCATTGCCTACAAAATACAGTCCCTTCGACCACCGTTACCTCTGACTACAGTCCCTCCGACTTTCATCGCCCGTCGATTATAGTTCCTCTGACCACGATCTCTCATTAATCAAGATCGATCCTTTTTATCATTTTCCTTTATTATAATTTGTTTATTTTTACCATTTTGCTTTGATGGAATAGTTTTTGAATTAGGGCATTTATTTTTCATATGTTCAGATTTTCTACACTCAAAGTAAATAATGCCAAAAGAAATCTTAGCATTGTTATAATTTTTATATTTATTCCACTTTTATTGATGCTTATGTTTATGCTTCAGTAGTTTTTTCAAATTCACTTATTATTAAGGTTATCTCCTTCCTCATTATCTACTAAATCATTCTTATCCATCTCTTCAGCTTTTAGCACTATTATTTCACCTACATCCAAACATCTTTGACTCAAACTTTGCTCATAGGCAATGAGTGAGCCAATCAAATTATCAGTGGAATATTCATTAAAAATTTTTGATTCACAAACAACAATAACTTTGACATCAAACTTATCAAGTAGACAACGTAAAATTTTATTGACTTTTCAAGATTTGAAAGTTCTTTACCAAAGGCGTATAATGATGTCATTATTTAAGTAAATCTACTATACATATCTAGAATAGTCTCATAAGATTTCATGCAAAATAGTTTATAATAATGCATTAAGATATTCAACCTTGATTACTTGACTTCATTAATACCTTAGTATTTAGTGTATAATTTATCTCAAACGAATTGACCTGAACTCGAATTTTTTGAATCGAATCGAGGTCAGGCTTTGGGTCTTGTTAACTTTTGACACCCTTAATGTTATTCCACATTGATAATGAATATTGAGCTCATAAAGTCATTTTATAATATATAATTAATAACTTGCATATATGAGCTAATTAAGTGATAAACAAATTAATTTTTTTTAATGCTGGCATACCTATTAATATTAATTATATATTAGATGCTATTAATATTTTTGGGCCAATTAAACCATGATTAAATAGAGGATTATTATTTGGCTTTTAAACCTCACATTACTCACTATAAACTTTATAACATGCATAGATCTAAGTACTGAAAGTTTGTTAGGGATGTTAAGCCCTTATGAACTTAGTCCCAAGCTAACCAAGAGGGGGGGGGTGAATTGGTATTTTAAAATTTCTTTTCACAAAGAATAAAAATTGCATAAACCAAAATCACACCACAAAAATAAATGCGAAATTAAAAGTGCAGAAGCAAAAAATAAGAACACAGAAATTTATAGTGGTTCGGTCAACTCAGAAATTTACTTAAATTCGCTTATGGATTAAGTTTCTTTCCAATTTTGCTATCCAAGGTTAGTATCAAAATAATAATTCCTTAGGTTGATGACAATTTAATGATTATAAGGAAAGGTTAATTTTCTTAGAATTTGCATTCATATGACATCATTCTTTGCACCCATAAATATATCCTCCTAAACGTAATGACACAATATAAACCATAAATATTTTCTGAGTAGAAGCCAAGAGCTTATAGCTTTTGCACAACCTTTGCTCGTGTCTTTCGTGGCCAAATAAACATCCATAATTGTTAATATCTATTCCTAAAAGAGAAGTAGGACGAGAAATCCATCAAAAATATGATTCAAATTGAAACAGCTCAAACTCTTATCTATCGAGATATTGTTCATTTTGGTTTAAGAGCCTCATGATTTTGTCCTGCTAGTGTAACTTCCTAGTAGGCCACCATCCCATAAATGCTCTGGGATAAGCATGCTTAACTGCGAAGTTTCTTACAAAAATTTCAACCATTACACGAAAAGGCGCATCGATGTTTAAGAGTTAGGTTTTATATTACTTAAGGGTTTTCACAATCTCCCCCACTTAAGTAATTGATGTCTTTGTCAGCATCTGCATCCCAGAATCATCCACTAGTAATATATGACTCTAGAGGTGGCCCCTATAAGTTCATGTGGTGGCTCCCGTCATGTAGCACTTTATCCCAAATAGGGTTCAAGAGGTGGCTCAAATGGCGTAACACTTTATCTTGTATGGCACTTAGCTCTCATCTTTCAACTTGTGAATTGCTCTGATACAATTTATAATAGTCCAAATTTTTAACTATCGATATATTGTCTTCTTTGGCATAAGAGCCTCACAATTTTATTCTATTGGTGTAACTGCCCAATAAGTCACCAATTCTAGAATTGCTCTGAGATGAGCACACTTAACTATGAAATTTCTTATAAAATTCCAACCGTTACACCAAAAGGTGCCTCGATGTTTAAGAGTTAGGCTTTCTATTACTTAAGGGGTTTCACAATCTGTTACACCAAAAGGCGCATTGATGTTTAAGAGTTTGGGATGTTACAAAAAACTCCCTTAAAACACTTGACCCATTAAATGTTTTTAATAATTAATTATGATAATTCTATGAGCGTAAGTTTATAATAAATATTTTGATGATGATGATGAATATTATTTGGTAAAAGCTTGATACGTCACCAAAAATTGCCTTAATCAAGTATAAATTTCGAGGTATATGCAAGTTGGAAATTTCTAAAATTAAATTTGGGACCATCTAAACTAAGATTTTAGCAAATTTATAGTCAAATCGGATGTCTAAAGGAGATGAAACCAATGGCAAAAAAATCAATCCAATACAAGGGTAAATGGGCCAAAATTAAGGGACTGAAGCACATTTGAAAAATTCAAAACAAAATTTGGATGTCCAAAAGATATTAAAATATAGAATGTGATTGGCTTGACGAGATGAATCCAATAAGTCTAAGAACACTTAATTCTAACATTACTAAGACACTTAAATACTTAATGAATGCTTTATAATTAAGAAAATCAATATGGGTCATCCGATGGAACACTTTGAATTTACCCTAAATCTTTTACATATTTATGGGTCTGCCACTCTAAAAAATTTATAAAATAGGCTCATATTCTCTTCATGAGGGGGTTAGACATTTTATTTGGAGATTGGACAGAGCTTTAAGGCTTCAATGATCTTAGAGTTCTTCTCAAGCATTATCACCAACGAACTTTTGTTGGCCACATCCTGTCCGCTGACCATAGTCGATCCACAGCCCATCCGCCAATAGTTGTCGGACCACTACCTGTCCACCATTCACCACTAACACCGCCCGTCTGCCATCAACATACTAATCTGACCACCATCGCCCGCTAACTACAGTCCCTTCAACTTTCGTCACCCGCCTACTACTGTCCCTCCGATCTCTTTTGCCTGTCAACTACGATCCCTTCGACCTTCATCATCCGTCAACAACATTAACTTTGACCACCATTGCCTATAGAATACAGTCCCTCCGACCACCGTTACCTCTGACTATAGTCCCTCCGACTTTCATCGCATGTGAATTACAGTTCCTCTGACCATGATATCTCATTAATCATGATTGCTCCTTTTTATCATTTTCCTTTTTTATAATTTGTTTATTTTTACCATTTTGCTTTGATGGAAGAGTTTTTGAATTAGGGCATTTATTTTTCATATGCTCAGATTTCCTACACTCAAAGTAAATAATGTCAGAAGAAATCTTCGCATTGTTATAATTTTTATATTTATTTCACTTTTGTTGATGCTTATATTTATGCTTCAGTAGTTTTTCAACTTCACTTGTTATTAAGGTTATCTCCTTGCTCATTATCTATTAAACCATTCTTATTCATCTATTCAGCTTTTAGCACTATTATTTCACCTACATCCAAACATTTGTGACCCAAACTTTGCTCATAGGTCATGAGTGAGCCAATCAAATTATTAGTGGAATATTCATTTAAATTTTTTAATTCACAAACAATAATAACTTTGGCATCAAACTTATCAAGTAGACAACGTAGAAATTTATTGACTTTTTCAAGATTTGAAAGTTCTTTACCTAAGGCGTATAATGATGTCACTATTTAAGTAAATCTACTATACATATCTAAAATAGTCTCATAAGATTTCATGCAAAATATCTTATAATAATGCATTAAGATATTCAACCTGGATTACTTGACTTCATTAATACCTTAGTATGTAGTGTATAATTTATCTCAAACGGATTGACCTGAACCCGAATTTTTTGAATCGGGTCCAGGTCGGGCTTTGGGTCGTGTCAACTTTTGACACCCTTAATGTTATTCCACATTGATAGTGAATATTTAGCTCATAAAGTCATTTTATAATATATAATTAATAACTGACATACATGAGCTAATTAAGTGATAAACAAATTAAAATTTTTAATGCTGGCATACCTATTAATATTAATTATATATTAGATGCTATCAATATTTTTGGGCCAATTAAATCATGATTAAATATAGGGATTATTATTTGGCTTTTTAGACCTCACATTACTCAGTATAAACTTTATAACATGCATAGATCTAAGTACTATATTTTATTTTTTATAGTTGTTATAAAATTTTGCTCCAAATAATCCCAAATTATTTGAAATTGTTCAAAGCGTACACTTTGGATATTGAAAGTGCCAAAATTAAGTTTTTAATATTAAGATGCGGGGTAAAAAAAATTTAACCCATGCAAACTCAAAATTAGGCTCAGAGCCATGTAGTAAGGCGACGTCGGTCTCATCATTTGTCTAGTCAAATAGTTATAGCCCTCTTTTATCTCTTCGGAGACATCTGATAAAATTGGAATGATACAAAGAAGATTAGCATGTCCTCTACGCAAGGATGACATGCATAAAACGAGAAATGGTCCAAATGTTTAAGATCTCTTTAGATCTTTAAAATAAAAAAAGTTATAGCCCTCTTAGGCTTGTTAAGATGCATTTATTTTTTTTATATATATTTAGATGTAAACATATTAATAGTCATTTAAGAGAAATGTGTGGGGCATTTAAACTTTTAAATGGTGACATTCAACATCACTAGAAATCTTATTTAAGTTTTTTCATGTTCAAATATTATTATTTGACTAGAGTAGAAAATTCAAGAATAGTGACTTTATAAAATATATCCAGTTGATGATTAATGATACATTATCATGAAATTATCTTGATTGGGCACGAATCTCGATGCAAAACCCAAATCAGAAACTTCAAAAATTAATTCCGGGACCACCCGAACTCTGATTTCAGCAAGCTTATATCAAATTGAGCGTCTCGGAAATGCGAACCCAACGACACCAAATTCGACCCAATCCGAGCCCAAATGAGTCCGAATCAAGGGCTCAAAGCGCTGTTGGAAGGTTAAAACCGCAATTTGAGTTACCAAATGGTCTAGGATTTTAACGAGCTTATACTCGAATCGAGCGTCTCGACGATACAAATCCAACGAGCCCAAGATCGCCAAATTCCGACATCACTAAGACCTTCAAATGTCCAACAAATGGTCCATGATCGTAGGATTCAATATCGGCCGTCCATTCAAACCACTCCAAATTCGCCCCTGATCTCACGCCTATTTACGGACTATGCCACTCTAGAAAAACTATAAATAGATCCCCATTCTACACCAAAGGAAAAAAAAGTGAAGAGAGAGAAGAAGAAGAGAAGGAGGAGAAGGAAGAAGCTCCTCCTCGACCACCGCCGGAGCTCTTCATGCCGCCCGAACACGCCGGGATTCTGCGTGGTTTTCAGAAGAACGCAGGAATTCTTCCCAACTTCCATGCGATGCTTCCCAATTTGCAACAGAGTTCCCTTCTGACACTGAAACTCCGCCCAAGTGAAGCCGGATTTCTCCTTTGCCACCAACAGACGTCGGACTTCTACCCGACATCGAACCTTCACTCTTCGCCAAGTTTTCTACCCGACGCCGGACTTCAACCGGTTATCGGACTTCGCTGGACGTCTACGCGAAGATGGATTTCTTTCCATTGTTGGACTTCTACCTGACGCAGTCCTTCTGATCTTCGTCGTCAGACTACAGTCCTTCTGACCTCCATCGCCAGCCGACTACAGTCCTCCTGACTTACGTCGCCGACTACAGTCTTTCCGACATCCATCGCCCGTCAACTACGGTCCTCCTGACTTATGTCGCCCACTGACTACAGTCTTTCCGACCTCCGTCGCCCGCCGACTACGGTCCTCCTGACTTACGTTGACCGCCGACTACAGTCCTTCCGACCTCCATCGCCAGCTGACTACGGTCCTCCTGACTTCCGTCGCCCGCCGACTACAGTCCTTCCAACAAAGTGAATATGTCAATAGTATCTCTTTGTATTTGCATAATGTAATGTACTCTATAAGATGTACATCGAAATAAGGCCTTCTCCCAAGGAAGGGTCTCATTTGTAATCGACTGCAACCGCGCCAGACAGTTTTTACTATCTGTTTTTGGGTTTCTTTTCCACTTTTCCTTTATGAAGATCACATGTAATTTTTTGCTTTTACAATTTTGCTGCTTGCTTATTTTTTCTGGCAAGCATTTTGTAATCTTTTTCTTTTTAATAGAATGGGCTAAGCCCTCAATTTACCCCAAAAAAAAAAAAAAATAAGGGGGTAAGAAAAAGGTGAAGAGGCATGATTGGATATCAGGGCGCTTACATGATCATCACAAAGCATCATTAACTGCTTGGCGCAGCGCATTGAATATTGATGAATGAGGAGACATTCATGATGGCGATGCCCATTGCCGCTCACATAACATTATGCCATCGTCTTCCGTCTCATTGCAATCATGTCGAGCAACCCATTTCATAGTAATTTAAATATTCATATTTTAATTTAGTTCATAAACTCATTATACACTTTGATTTGAGATGAACGGGGCAATTTCGCCATTTGGACATGAATAAATTTCATTTTGTAGGGATGTCATTCGAATTTAGGATCCGACTTCAATTGATCCGGATATAAATGGGTTGATCCTAATCCGACCTGATTTTACAAACTGGTTATGATTTCGGGTTTGAGTCGGTCAAATATTCACACCCTAAAATTTTGCATATGAATATTTGGGACAAAATACTAATTTTGAAGGATTTTAAATTTTATTTTTTAAAAAAATATTGCTATGATCATCACGCTTCTTTGAAGTGATTTTTGAAATATAATTTTTAAAATTAAAATAATGATTATCTAAACTTTAAATTTGACATGGTTATAGTTGAATGAAGTGGCTCGGCAAGATGAATCCAACAAGTCCAAGATCAGTCAATTTGACATCATTGATATGTTTAAATGAAAAAAATGCTTTTTGATCAAAGAGAATCGATATTGACCATATGATGGAGTGTTTAAAAATTCTAGTTCAAATTACCAAAATGCTCATACAAAAAAACCTATAAAAGAGACTCATTATTTTCCATATGAGGAGAGAAGTAGGGAGAAAACTAGAGAGCTCTATTGTATTTTCTAACTATCGCAATCGACGATCACCGCCACCTATTTCCCCTAACAATCACCATCATGCTTGATGATCACCCTAGTAAGCACCACAATCTCCAAAATTTGATAAGATTTAAACATGATGTTGGGTATAACTGTCAGCATGTGGATGAATGAATTAAGCTCTGTGTTGGGAGTTAATTATCAATCAAGAATACTTAATTTTTATTAACTCCCATTGCATAAATCAAGCATCTTAACTCCCTTCTTCATTGTGGTGAAGAAAATATTAATTATCTTCAGATATATAGTGAATTTTTCATCAAGGCTTGGACCTTTATTTTTCCCTTTTTCAACACTACAGAAAAATCACGTATTACTGGCGGATTTTTCCAGCACAAAATCATCATTTTTAGGCGGATTTCCGGCAAAATATTTTAACCAGTAAAACAAGCGCCTGAAAAAAAAATTCTGGAAAAAAAAATGCCTAAAATATGTGGGAATAAAAAAATGAAAATGTAGGCCCGAACCCGCCTCTTGCCACCCGCTCCGGCCAGACCGATTCCGTACCTGCTACCACCAGCCCGTGCCTCCCGCAGCCAGCGAGCCTGCCAGCCCAAACCCACCCGCGTAAGCATTAGTCAGCCCGAATCTTGCGCCCGGCTCGAACCCCCCCACGACCGCCCGCACGTCCTCGTTTGGATTCGAACCATCAACCTGTTGAATAACTTCATGGAGCCTTCCACTTTGCTACAGTGAAAATACATAATAAGTTATATATTTTATATTTAAATATTTTTAGAAGTATTTAAAATTTAAAATATATATATATCAAAGTTAATAAATAAGATATTAAATTAATAATTAATTGAAATAAGTATTTAATCAATATATAATTAATTAGTAATTTGACAACTTATTTTAGTTATTTAATTAAGATAAGTTATTAAATTAATAATTTATTAAAATAAGCTATT